ACCTAAAAGGTTGTTACAAAGAGGAGGGAGAAAAATTGTTCTCCTTAACCTTAACATCAGGTGAAAATCTGAGCACACACATTTGAAATATTGCTCCTGTAGTTTATAAAAATTATATTGTAAAAGATTATTTACTAGAAAGACCAAGAGAACATAGTATCCGAGGGGTATCCGTGTTAGTCTGGATCTGTAAAAAGCAACAGAGGGTCCTGTGGCACCTTTAAGACTAACAGATGTATTGGAGCATAACATAGTTTTCCATTCATAAGTAAAAAAAAAAAAAAAAAAAAAAACCTGATGGAAATACACTGATGCTATTCCAAATAGTAAACAATGATTCTTTAGTGGTACGTATGAGAAGTTTCCTCCCAGGTTGAGGGTACTATGGAGTAAATGCCAGCCGGATTAATGCAGGGGCTTTAGAGGCCACAGCCCAGGGCCCTGGGCTAAGCGGGGGGCCAGCAAAAAGATCTCCAGGATGCCAAACATCCAGATTTTTTTTGTGGGGGCCCACTTAGCCCAGGGTACAGCCCCTAAAGCCCCTGCGTGAATCCTGCTGGCAGGGTGCGGGAGGCGGATCCACGCACTGCTGCTCCCGCTGGGGTGGAGCCACCCGGCAATCGGGGGAAGCTCCAGTGTTCCGTCTGCGCGCTGCCCTCGCCGGCTGGCACTGCCCCCGCAGAGCCCGTCAGCTGGGAATTGTGACCAATGGGAGCTGTGGGGGTGGTGCCTGCAGGCAAGGCAGCGCGTGGAGCCACCTGCCCCCCCCCCTCCTCCGCCATGCACTGGCCACTTCCAGGAGTGGCAGGGGGCCAGGGCAGACCCGGCCCAGCCTGCGGGACCCACCATCTGCACTGAGAGAGCTGGAGGACAGCAGGTCCCTTGCACACCATGATCCAGCCAGGCCTCTGGCTTCCTCTCCCCTCCCCCGGCCGCTGGTGGCCACCGCTCCCTGGGGCTGGTGTGAGCTCTAGGCCAGGCTGCTGGCTCTGTGCCGGGCTCCTAGCTGGGCTGGAAGAGGCCACGGTGCCCAGCTCAGGACCATCTCACAGCGAGGCGCCAGCTGGCACTGCAGGGACACAGCACCTCCGAAAAGGAGCCCCCGGGTGTCCCAGTCTGAGCTCCAGCTCAGGGGCTCCTTGGGCCATCCCTGGCCTGGATCCGGACTCCCTGCCTATCTGGGGCCCAGGCAGAGCGAGGGAATTTGTACTGACTACCCCAGAGCAGGGCCCTGCCACCCAGCTCCCTGAGCAGGGCAGAGCATCACAGGCACTTTCTCCTGGCACTGAACGGGGGGGGGGTCCGTTAAGACAAGCAGCCAGTGCTCTCCCCCCTGCCTGGCTCCCTGCCGCCGATGCCGTGCCCAGCTCCTGCCTGCCGTCGCACCCAGCAGCTGCTCAGGGAAGGAGTGGGAGAGGTGGGACACCCACAGGAGCAATGGGCGCTCAGGCTGTGCCAGGGTGGGGCGGGAGTTGGCAGTGGGGGGGGGCATGGGGCACTGCTAATCACCTTCTCCCTAAGGGGCGAGTGAGGGGAATGAAATATGACCCATTTACAAGCAGCACAAGGGAATAGTTTTCTTACCAAACTGACCACCAGGCTGTGGAACTCATGGCCACAAGACGGTGATGAGGCCAAGGGCCGGGGGGACCCAGAAAGGGTTAGACATTTACCCGGCCCATGAGACCATCCAGTGCGAGAACAGCAGAGACGGGACATGAGCAGCTGGCCAGCTGAGGGGGTGTGTGTGTCTTGTGCCATCTCCTATGGGGTGGAGCCCAGGCACTGGAGTCGTGGGTCCCTGGGCTGAGCTAGCCCAGAGGTGCCTGGTCCCCAGGCCAGAAGGGCCCGGCGTGAGGAGCTGGTCTGGGTCTGACCCCCTGTCCAGCAGGGCCCCGGACTGTCCCCGGAGCAGAGCTGGTAGAGAAACAGCCGAGGTGCCGGTGATGGAGGATCCAGCCCAGCCCCGTGAATTGTGACCCCTTGGCGCCAGTGGGAATTGGTCCAGCTTCAGCCGCCAGCCCTGGGCTCGCGTGGGCCCTTCCCCGCCGGCCGGCCGAGCCCCTGGTGCGCTACGTTCCCCAGGCCGTGAGCACCACGCGGGGCACACGCAGGTCACAGCGGCTTCCTCGGCCAACGTGCCCGACGCCGGCGCTGCCGGACAGATGGAGGCTGCCCTGGCTGGGGCCGCAGCCCCGGGGGACGTGGGGCTCGGGGGCCGCCGATTTCACAGCTGGGCCGTGATCCCCACCCACTCCAGCACCACAACGGGGCCGCAGCCCCCCGGATGGCACATGGCTCCGCCCCGCCCTGTGCCCCTGGGCACTGCCCCCTGCTGGGGTGGCCTTGGCCTGGGAGGGGGTTGGGTGTGCCTGGGGGGAGGGGCGGTGCCCAGGACTCCTGGGTCCCGCGCTCCCGGCTATCACCGGCTCAGCTGGCTGCGCGACCCTCCTGTCCAGCGCAGAGCTCCCCTCACTCGGCTGTCGTTCGGCGCCTACGGGGTTAACCGCGGCCGGCCTGTCTGCCCCTCACAAACATGGCAGGGTGGGCTCTACCCCTCACAAACATGGCTGGGGTGGGATCTGCCCCTCACAAACATGGCAGGGCGGGCTCTGCCCCTCACAAACATGGCTGCCTGCGACAAGGCCTGCGCAGGGCTGCCTGTCACAAACATCAAAAAGTCCTGTGGCACCTTATAGACTAACAGATGTATTGGAGCATAAACTTTCGTGGGTGAATACTTATGCTCCAATACATCTGTTAGTCTATAAGGTGCCACAGGACTCTTTGTTGCTTTTTACAGATCCAGGCTAATGGGGCTACCCCACTGATACTTGTCACAAATATGGCTGCCGGGGCGGGACCTGCCCCTCACAAACATGGCTGCTGGCTAGGGGCGGGGGCCTGCCCCTCACAAACATGGCTGCCGGCCGGGGCTGGCAGGGCCGGGACCTGCCCCTCACAAACATGGCTGCTGGCAGGGGCGGGGCCTGCCCCTCACAAACATGGCTGCCGGTCGGGGCTGGCAGGGGCGGGA